TATTATTAAAACATAACTGAAAAGACCTATGTGCCCTTACTTAAGYTARGAGCACATGTTTCAACACAACATTACAGATCAGCAACATCAATCAAGGTATAAAGACAGAAATACCCCTATGCTAACAAATTGCATATTGGGAAAATGTAATGATTATTAGAAGATTTGATTCCTATTGAATTCAACTTCTAATGAATTATTTTTCAGGTGTTAAACTAAGTGATGCTTCAAAGAAGCTTGGGAAAAAATTTGCGACAGGAGCATCTGTTGTTAAGGTGCAAAAGAATTAAGTTACATTAAAAGATACTCTTGGCCATAAATTTGTTCAATTTCTTATTTATCTGATTGAAATCTGAATAACTCATTTTTAGGGGCCAACTGAAAAGGAGCAAATTGATGTACAAGGAGACATAGCTTATGATATTGTGGAGTTCATTACAGAGACCTGGCCTGATGTAATTTTTTCTGACCATTATCTCTTCTAATATGTTTCATGTACTATTTTCAGAATGTTATTTTGGTTAGTATTACCCTTATCAAAATTTTTAAATCATATTATCCATTCATTCAATGCTTTTTCTTAAATTATTAGGATATGGACCATATGGTGATATAGAGTTACTTGATTGTTAATGTCATTTAGCCAAAGATAATAACCTCAGTATAAAACCATTATGATCAATCTACAGATTTGGATTTCAAAAGCATTTATGTTCTCTATGTTGTACCTACTTATGTGTTAGTATCTGTCTATGTGGATGGCACCTCATTGTACACATTATGGTACGTATGATATTGTGATGCAATAGAAAATTCTCTATTAAGCTGAAACTTGAAAAATAATGCAAAAATACTTTGATGATGCCCTAAGCCTTGGTTTTTTAAGAAAGTTCAAAGGAAAACTTCCCACAGGGTGGTACCAAGTGGTCTCAAAAGTTCTCCTAGGGACTAGCAAAGTCAAAAGGCTAAACTTTTAACATTCAATAGTAGAAGAAACTGCTTGCAGTGTTTTGTTAAAATCTATTTGTAAGAAAACAAAACGTGAACCCTTTAACTTAAAAACCAAAAAATTGATATCAGTGTTAACTAAAAAATCTATGAAAGAAAATACCCCTTAAATAAAGATTTCCATCATGGACCTGTATATATAAATTGGCATGTCTAAATCGCATGATCATGGGCTTGTACAAGTTTTCTAATGGTGCCGAATCTGAGGCAATGGATATGTTTTGAAGATGGGATTGTGATGCCTTCTTTTATAGATAACAGAAGAAATATATTGACCATGGTAAAAGAATCAATATTTTCAATTCAATAAATGCCGAGCACCCCAATAAATTAGTCAACAACTGCCAATCCCAAAAACTCTATTTTCTTCCTTATTCTTTTTAGATTTACATTAATCCCTCATTTGTCTCCAAAAAAGCTGTCGTCTAATCACTCCTTGCTTTGCAGTGTTGTCTGCCATTGAATTTGCAGTTATTTGAACCACTGAAAGCCTAGAGTTAGAGGTGCATGTCAGGTACCTGATATGAAGAGTTTACACTGCAGCGGATCCCAGCTTTCGGATTGAGCTCATTGAAATTTTAGCAATTCCCCAACCCAAGCCTGCCTAAGTTGCACCCATACTTAGAGTAATATACTTACCCAAGTTTCTTGTCTCCCTCAAGATGGATCAAAACTGCCAGATGACAAAGCTGCCATTCATTAGTTGACCCATCATCACTTTTGAATCTCTCTACAATCACATTCCCAAGGAAAACAGACTTTGATAGCATCATTCTTTGAAGTATGGCCATTATTTCTGCCCTTTTAGAATTTCAATGGCTTATGGATGTAGAGACAGTGAGAAGATCTAGCCGCAGGGCTGTTTTTGTAGTTTTACTTCTTTTTTGTTGTACATCTATTTTCTGTACTCTTTCTTTTGTACGCTAAGGGCAGATTTGTCCTTTTACTTTCTTTAATATAAATATCTCTTTTAGGGTGTCAACAAACACAAGGTGACACACCCACCAAACTGTTTGTTTTTTTCTCTCTTCTATCTGTCTTTTCGACTTGACTCTGACAGTGGAGCCCAAGTATAAAGCTAGGATTGATTCTTAGTATCACACCCCACCGCTTGCAATGTGTTCTCTCGATAATTTCATTCACATTATTTTGATTGTTTTCCTTTCCACCAGCTCATCTTTTTTACCAATTTACTAGATGAGCCTGGCTATTCCACATTTCCTTGCAAACCATGACATCTTGTTTTACCAACGAGCTTTGATCTAGCTATGTTTGATATTTTCATTCATATTACAATGAATTCTTCTGACTTTGGTTGCACAAGATCTCTTGATTGTAAATACATTATACTGGTTTCTAACCAAGCCTTGGTTGAATTACAATTACCATGTTCTATCTACAAGATGAAGTAGCTTGCCTTCTAGCTTTTTTTTCTCGACATTTGGGTATCTATTACCTGGACACATGGTGAGATTGATGAATCATATTGCTTGAAAAGGGCCCTAAGGTCAATTTCACAATGAGGTCTTCTTTATGGTTCCTTAGCTAGAGGAGTGGCTGACCATGTTGAGTTAGCTGGAATTTGGGGTTAGCAACCCAGTGGAAACTTTCATGTAGTTTGCTTCCTTCGATGAAGTGTTAACAATGGACATATGACCCATAGGGGCATTCCAATTCCAAACATGTGCGTTTTACATGATGCTGTAGAAAAATCTGTTAATAGTTTATTCCTCTTCTGCTTGCTTCTCTGCATCATGGGAATCCTTTGCACTCTTTTTAGTGTTGGATGGGTTTGCCCATCTTTTGTTAGATTCTTTCTTCTTTCATGGCCTTTATTATCACAATGTAGTGGAGGTTTTATCTTGTGGAATAAAGTTCCTTCTGCCATTTGTTGGTGTGTGAAAGGGGGTGTAATAAAGGGGCTTTTAATGATGAAAGAAGGCCATTTGTGTGTCTTTTCTGCATTTGCTTTCATTTTTTATTTTTAATTTATTTTTTTGGATTGGAAGTATAGAAAGATCTTGGCAGTTATAGATGAGGGCTTATCTTTAACCATCAAACTATTTTGGTTAGAGTTACATTGTGAAAGCATTTTCAGGTGATTTAATGACATGCTAATGCGAAATCATTTTATTTATTTGTTTTCCTTTCTATGCTGATTACTTGGTGTGGTATTCAATCCTTTACTTCCGAGCTTTAGCATTCTTATATCTTTTCGAAGGCCTTGCTGCACTATCATACTTCTTTTGATCAGTAATGCTATAATACTTTTTTTTTTCTTTTTTACTTTCTATCGATGGTTTTAAGGGGTAGGGGCCATTACTTGGTGTAATGGTAAAGCTTCAAGCTGTCAAGCATGAGAAACACAGGTTTGAGTCCGAGAGTGGCCAAGTTGCGTGGAAAGATGCCACAGGTTAGGACCGTATCCAATCCACCCATCCCAAGACCCCAGATGGCTGGAACCAAAATTGGGTAATGACCTTTTTTAAGGTGTACAATTAATCCATGGTATGCATGTTTTACTTGGAGAATGCTTTGGTTAATTACAATGTCAGATTTGTGATTAATATCCAAGGATCTAATGTTTAGTTGCAGAATGTTTATATAGATTTCCCATTAATGAATGTATTACATGGATATGGTTATGATTGTTAGTCTAACACAGATACAAGGTGTCAAGCTACCATGACCAATTTACAATTAATTCCCAGTCTTTTGTCTAAGACCCTGAGATTTTTATTGTTGATTTAGGGAATCAGCAAGAAGAAAATGTCCTTTCAAGTGTCTTGTCAGGATGGGTGTTCACGTGCTAAGATGCCATTTGTTCAGGGCCGTGAAGGGTCCATGTAATATGTACTAAAGGGGCAATATCACCAAACCGGTAGGGTTACTCGTGTCTGGATGTGAGAATTGGAGTTACATTAAGTAGAACCATGGTTTGGTCAGAGGCTCAGAGCCATTGTCATTTCGTCATAAGAAACCCTAGCATAAATTGTTAGTCTTGCTATTTGTCATTAATTGGGCAGAAAATATAGTCCTTTACGTGCTGGCTTTTGTTAGATTCATTAGAGTATGAAATGGTTTTTTGCATTACCTTATATCTACGCTATATTATTGAATAAAGGGGTCAAATCCATCCTTGGACGTGTAAAGCATAAAAAGTTGACTGTGATTTTGGCTATTTTGAGTCAGGTTGAAAAGTGGCATGGTAAGTCAAGGTTACGGTGTTTAGTACTGACATCTAGTCCTTGAGTAGTCCAATTGAGGGAAGAACTGGAAAAAATAATATGGTGAGGCACCAACAACACCTTAGATTTGGCTCTGTGAGGGAGGAGAAAACATGCTTGTTTGTTATTAGTTGCATCCTAGAAACTGCAGGTTGTTAGTAGGTCCAGACATCATAATAATTATTTGGGGCAATACTTGGCTCCTATCACGTTGGATGACATGCGTCCTACCACCTCCTATTTTTAGATCTATACCCTAAATTTCAAAACCTTAAACCCTGAAATCTAAACTCTAAACCCTTAAATGCTAAGCCCTAACTTAAATCCTAAACCCTAAAACCTAAAATCTAAACTCTTAACCCTAAGCCCTAACTTTAAATCTTAAACCCTAAACCCTAAAATCTAAACTCAAAACCCATAAATCCTAAACTATAAACCCCTAAACCCTAACACAAAAACCTAAAATTAGTGTTTAAAATGGCTATGGTAGGATGCATGCCCTCTAGGAGCCAAGTATTTTTTAATTATTTACCTTTTTAGTCTATTCAAAATGGATGGTCTTTCAACTTTACAAATTACCAAGTACTTTTATTAGAGACAAATTGAAAGGTATGCCTAAAGAGATGTTATGGACCTTGTGGTGTAAGTTAAACAGATGTCTCTTTTTTTTACCTTTTTTCAGGTGCCAGAAACTGCTATTTTCTTCATTGAAGATGGTAGGAAGGTCGCTGCTGCTTGAGTTGGTGTCAAGGCAAGAAAGTGCTCAGTGCTGACTTATGACTGAATTAACATAATTAAACTTTTGTTGTGCCAGGGAAATGGGGCATCCTGTCTTCACTCCAGGCCGGTGTTTTGCACCCAAATTTCTCTGTTTTAAGTAAAAAAACGACCACCGTTGGATTCTAAGAGATGAAATCTGATATAAATGTTATATATTTTCTTTATATATTGATAGATATTAATTTGATATGATTTTCAGTTAAGAAAAGTATGCTTGGAACTCGATGGACGTGGTGCATGTATTCGTTGCTAGAATTATTTGATTATTCTGTGAAATATTATTTTGTGTCAATTTAACCTAATCAGTTACCAAATAACAAAGAACTTGATCAATTATTCTCCGAAGTCCAAACGCAGGCTGTGGGTTACCGTATAGCTTTGCTTTGGTGAAGGCAAGGAATGGGCATTTCTCTTGACTGCTCCCCGTCCTTTTAAGCTATTATTTGTGGCCCGCCAAATATCCCAGGCCTGTTGTAATTCATTCCCTGTCCAAATGCATTTTTATATAGCTTTTGTGTATTTTAATTTAAGATAATAGATTTTTAAAATATTTATTTTAAAATCTAAGTTTATATTTTTAATTAGGGGTAAAAGATTTAAAAATAAGTTTTCATAAGTTAATTTAAACAAAGACTTAAAATATACCTTATGAGTCTTTTATCCTTTACTTCCAGTTAAGTTTTCAAAATATACCCTGGATTTTTCAATCTCTTTTATCCCTTCAAATCTTACAACATGGGCAGAGGCAGATTTGGTAGTATAGAAGTTTTGTTTTAGATCCAACCAATGACAGTCACATAAACAATGCAAAATAGGATTGAATGTGCATTTTCAAAAAAAAAAAAAATCTGCAACTTAAAACATATTTTGCAGAACTTAAATTAAGTTTTAATGAGTGAATTCCAATTTATCAAAAAATGGCATCACCTTAGTTAATGACTTTAATACCATATAAACTACTAAATTGCAATAATTCCATTTCACATGAAACCCAAAAATGCTTTAAGCGAATCATTGAAACCTTGGTTTTCAAAACCAGACCGGACTGGACGGTCAGACTGGAAAAAATCAGGAACCGGTCACCTGACTGGTTCCATTTTTCCCCAAAACTGTTGGTTTTGGTCAGCAAACCGCTGAACCGACCGGTTAACCGTTCAAACCGTTTTAACCATTTTTTATTTTTTTATTTTTTTGTTAGAATAGGCCGATTGTTCAGACCATTCGGCCCAGTAACCGGACCCCTAACTGGTTCTGTTGCCGGATCGGTTTTAAAAACCATGATTGAATCTCTCTCTCTCTCTCTTCTTTGTCCTCTTGTTTTGTTAGGTAAACCAGTTCATTGGCCATCTCTCCCCCCACACCCTTTTTTCTTCTTCTCTGGACAAAATAGAAGATTTAAAATCTTTGGTATATTTAAGTCCTTTTGAAAATCTTAGGGTACGTTTAAGTCAATTAATGAAAACCCAGGGTATATACAAATTTTTTTATTGTGTTTAGCATTTTAAATTTTGTATCTTTGGCATTTTTTATTTTTAATATCAACATTTTTTGAATTTTTTAGCATTTTTGTGCCTTGCTTCAAAAAGGCGTCTTACCTGCCTTGGACACAAAATGCCCCTTATGATTTTTTTGTGCCTTGCACTCAAGGTTCAAAGTATTGACACAGGGCATATCCGCCTGTATCATACTTTTTTTAACTTTTAATTTTTATTTATTTTTTTGAAACCGGTTCAAAGGGGTTGGTTTATGACCCGACTACCCTTTGATCCAGTGTCTGACCTGATACAGCCTCTAGAAGGGCATATTTATAAACTATCGGCACGATACGGGCCAATACATATCGATATTTTGAACCTTGCACTTTTAAAATAAAATAGGATTTTAATATATAAAACACTTAAAATAAACAGAATCTCATTTACTAAGAGACTGTTTAGCAAGTCTTTGTAAAGACTGCTTTGAACCTTGATGTGGAGGGTTTTTGCTTGATGAGGTCTACTAGATACTCATTGAATTCCTCCCATGTTTACGAGGACAACGAACATGTTACTCCCCGTTTTAGATACCAGTTCATTCCGCATTTCACCCAGAGAATAAAAAAACATGTATTTGATACATCGAGTTCCTTTTTTTTATTGAAAGTAACCAATTATAAGGCTATATACCCATTCTCTCGAGTTTTTTTTTTTTTTTCTTTTATGAAAAGGTCGCCTTCAAACGAGCAATATGTTAATTGGAAAACACAAAGATAGTCATACCAACAAAAAGCGAGCTTCCTTCTCAACTAAAGAATTGACACGCTCCACTTAATGCGTACCTGGGGGCCACCACACAAAATCTTAATACTTGCTTCATGTTACACTAGGGTCAAGGTTCAAAGTATCAACATGTATTAGCCCGCATCGGCCGATACATATCATTCCGGGACCTCACAGATACGCCCCTATAGTAGGTGTATCAGGGGTCTGATTGGTTCAGAGTGTAGAGGAGACCTAAACCAGCCCCCCTGAACCTGTTTCAGAAAAACAAAAAAAACAAATAAAACATAAAAAAAAGGTATCAATTCACCCTATACACTCATACCGGCATATTGGGCGTATGGATATTTTGATCCTTGATTAGGGTGGCAAGATATAAGATATCTTATTCAAGAGACCCTACAAATTTTTATGCAAACATGAGTAGGCAATAAAGTTGAATTCTACTTTTTTCCGAAAGAAAACTTCCACATTTATGACCAAAAAATGGGGGAAAATGCTGCCTATGCCCGTATCAGGTAAACTTGTCATAGCCTCTTCACCCTTTGAGGTTTTGGAATCACTCACCCATTTAAAATGTGTATATATGGACCCTTTTTCCTTTTCTGATATGAAAGGATGGTCCAATACACTGCACCACTTTTATTATCATATACATGTTCGCATGGGTTGAATAAGGATATAGACAAATACAGACGGTGCTTCGGAATGAAACAATCAACTACTCAAAGGATGCCAGTTCACTACTTGGATTTAGGCAAACTCAATTATCAAATAGATGAAGGAACCTTCACCAGATGCCAATAGTTCGACAATTATAGTGGCTATGGATGACTAAAATACATATATCATATTTGCCAACAAAGTGGAACCTACAAAAACAGATTTCCAGTTTCTCAATTTGTGACCTTAGGTCATCATTGAGATCCCCCCCCCCTCTAAAACCTGTATGCGGTTAGTCATCATTGAGATTTCCAGTATCATTCATTTATTGACATTGCATCGACCTATCACCAGGGGGAGGGGTGAGTGAATTGAAGCAGAGGTTACAATGAGAACAAACCTCACAAATAAATACAAAAGGGGGGCATGCTAAGTTCATTTTGCACGTCTATCCCAGGTGCTTAAAAATGACACAGTGGAACCTACAAAAATATATCTCCAGCTTCTCAATTTGCGACCATTTGAAATCCCCTTAAACCTGTCAACTGGTCAACTGTATTCATTTCATTTGACATTGCACCCACCTCTGCCATCAAGACACAGTACAGACTATATAAAAATGCATCTTTATGCACAATAGGTAAGTAAAGAAATAGGGGTATCTCCATATGTTCCCAACATAGGGAAAAAACCCTACAGGATGCTCTTTTTCCAGTATATATATCATAAAAAAAAATGACAACATTGAAATGAACTAAGATGTGCCTTTCTGGAATGGACTAAGCATATTTACTAAAACACGTGTGGTAAAAACTACTTGCAGTATTGTTAACATACATTATCTGTCTGACTTAACCAGATCTTCAATAGAGCTTCTGTACTTGGAAATCAGATCCCTGTCAAAGAATTAAACTATTTAATATTAGCAATGATTTCTTATCCAACATTTAGATCATCTGTTGCAAATAAAAGATTCCAATTAAGGTAGCACCAACCTTCTCTGGTTTAGGAGTTGCTCGCTTTCCTCCAGCTTACGCTTCTGTCCATCAACTGTCTATGACCAAGACCAAATATATTGCCCATGATCACCCCCTCACCGGGGGGGTTTTCAATTGTGGCACAGGTTACAACGAGATCAAGACTCAAAAACACATTAAGGTGCTAGTTTCATTTTGCACATCTACCCTAGGTGCTTAAAGATTGATACGATTGAAGAAAATCAAATACAATCCATTATTGTTAGTTAATTTAATTGTTATTTTTTATCACATAATAGTACAATACTAAAACAAGAAAATAATAGTTAGATGGGTCATTACATACCATGGCCTTTGTGTTGATCGATACTGATATTGAGTTCAATAATTGTTGACATTTCTCGAAGTGGCTAGTTAATTCATTTACCTATTATGAAAAAAAAAATTGAAGAATAAGTGAATTAAGAGTCCTAAATCTATGATTGCAAATTACCCCGGTTCCACATTATAAAGAAATATTTTACAATGTTGGAAATGAAAATGCTTACCAGAGCATCTGAATGCTGTTCACGTGTGCCACTTTCAATCGCTTCAGCTAAATTCTCTACCAACTGAAATTACCAAGAAAACATTAAGAAAAACCGAAGTTTATTTCTCACCAAACTGGCTTAAGAAAATAAAGAACCAATCTTATTATGCTATAGACGATAGTTTTCAAGGCACCAAGGCAAGGCTAGGTGACAGGGGGGCACCTTGTTGCCTAGTTGTCTAGGTGGGCACCTAGGTGATGGGTTTTTTTCAAGTAAAAACATGAATCCTTGGGTAATTCCCTTGGTTCCATAGCAACCAGCAGCCAGCTTTCCCCAGTAATTATCTATAATCTTTATAAAAGAAAGTATAAAATTCATATTAAAACAGAGAAAAATCAATATACAATATATTCATCAGAATAAAAAGAAAAATAGAAAAAAGAAAAGAAAAGCAAATGCAGAAAATATAGGGGCTGAGCCCCTGTTTTTATACTAAGAATGTATTTTTTTTTATCAATATATACTAAGAATGTGTTGATTAAACAAAATTTTAAGTTCTCCCTTACCATTGTGTGTGTGTGATAATCAGTTCTTCCTTGCTTGTTGTTGCCTTGTTGGTTCAGGTTTTGAAGTCTCTAAGGGTTCAAGACAGCATACACTAACATGTACATTGATTTTACTCTGACAAATAAGAAAATTATAAAAACAAAACTAGTACATAAACCCACAAATGAATAGTTTAGTTTAATAATATGACATCGAAAAATAAATAATATAAAAAAATCAAATAAATAATTTATGCATATTTTATTAATACACATAAAATTTCTAGATGAGTAAGCGAGGCAACCCTCCATGGGTGCCTTGTCACTTAGGTGCTAACTTGACAATTATGTTATAGACAATATAAAATAGATGAGAAAGTACACTGAAAACAAAGATACATTTGTTTTTAGTATTGATTACTCGCCTTTCATGGCATAGTACCGCAAACTTTATCTAGCAACATTACACTCTTCTCAAAGGTGGATTTAGAGCCATTAGTAGCAGGGCTCAAAACCGCATTGCGTCTGGGGCTTACCCAGTTTCGTGCCAACCGAGCCATATTAAATATCATTGAGCACTTTATAAGAACAAAAATCAAGATATACCATATTGGCAGTTAGCATCTGCTGAGGATTATCAATGATTATTCTGATGATAACACTCCCAAGAAGAAACAAAATGAATCTGGTTTGAGAGAAAATTTAACACAAGCACACATACATACATGCAAGAGATGAAAATGAGAAGCCAGTGACTGGTGCTGATGATGTTGTTGATGGCGCTGTGGCTGTTGCTGCTGCGGCTGCAGCTGATGATGATATTGTTGATGAAGGTGAGAATGCTCTTGATTTGATGTTATTGATGAAGTATTGTGATTTGAGGCACTTGGAATCATCATCCAGCTCCCTCCTGAGTAGGGGTCCATTATTTTCCTTTTCAGGAGCCTTCGAACTATTTTAGAAATGGATCAATAGTCGTTTCTGCTAACCTACACAGTGGGTGCAAAGATGTAAATAAAAGAGGACTGTAGTGGCATGGATCAGCACGTCAAATCTCATGTTGAAATTTTGGGTGCTGCAAGAGTGAAAATGGAAACAGAAAATGAAAATAAAGGTAAAATTTTTAATTTTCACTAATATATCATTGTTTCATTGTGACTTAGAAATCATCTAAAAGTTGACCAAATAAACAACATAAAAGGAGAGCTAATAAAAACTGGAAACAATTGCTTCTTTCTATAATGGAGAACAAGGAAGTTCCATTACACTCCTCCCATCTTCCCCATGTTTTTCTGTAATTTTGTAAAGAGTGAAAGATTACAAATGAAAGGTTGTAAAATTCTGTGGTTCAATATTCTTTTTTTTTTCTTTTTAGCCATAAAAAGAGGAATGTTGTTGATTGCTGCCCAGTACACTTAATAAGACGAGTTAAAATGAGGGTTCCAATATACCATACCAAGTTAAACAAGTCTAATGGATTTATAGATATAAACATTGCTTTATGAAGCCTTTTATATTTTATTTTTAATAATTGCACAAGGAAAAGAAACATTATTATGCACCATTGGAATGAATGAATTTTTGTAGCAAAGAGCACAACAAAGAATATTGAAACAAGAAATCAGAAAGAAGAGAGAGATTATTGCAGGTTGCCCAAAGAAAGTATTGGAGTATAATATACTTAAGTTAAAAGTTAAAACCTCAAAAAGACTGAGCTGCCCCTAACACTGAATAAAATGAATAACAGATGAAGCTCTCTTATCTATACAATATCAAGTATATATATATATATAAACAAGGCAATGAAAAACTTTTCTCCTTTTTTTGAATTTTTTATTTTTTTATTCCATGTCATTACGATATGCACTTTCCCAGAACCTAAATAATCTCTTCTCCTAAAATTTCTCCTAAACTACCTCCCCCACTTTCTCCAAAATTATCTCTAATTTAGTAGAGAGTTTCTCTCCTAAATTATCTCTAATTCCTATTTATCCTCTCCCCTACTTTTTATCTATATCTATCTAAAGAAAGTTTGGATTAAAAATTTTAAGAATTATTTAAATATTCTAACAAAATTATATAATAACTTTAAAATATTTAGTAAAACCACAAACAATAATTTTATATTTTTACAAAATATATCACGAAATTATGTACCAACAATTTAAATTATGTTTTTCCAGATTATCAATTTAAATGTTTTTCAAATATTTAATAATATGTAATAGCTAAAACACTGACTCAACCTTTCATTAAGGAGTGTTTGTTTTTCCATTAGGCCCATATTTTTTATTCCAAAAATACCCTTAACACTTTTTTATACAAAAAACAAAATTGACCAAATATAGCCAATAGAGCAGTTGCCCTTGTCTTATTAAGGGCAAAAATGGTATTTTTATTTCTATTTTATTTTGATTAAATTTATGTAAATGAACATTAGGATCAACACTGTCATTTTCCACTATCATCTAATGGATGATTGATTAAATCCATTGCAAATTATAAGTGGTGTTTTAGTAAAATGCTAACTATTGGGTAGATTTTAGTAAATCCATGAAACTATAAGGGTATTTTAGTAAATGACTCTTTCTATTATATCTTAATTTTTCAAATGCTAGGATAGGACAAAGATATAGTCCCCAATATTTTTTTTTGGTAATAAAATAATATTTCAGTAAAAGGTGAAAGGAATATAAAGGTAATAATATGAGCATTGCAGCCCCACCACCAAATGAACAACTCTACACAGTACACACTAAACAGAACCACAATTTGACACCCAAACAAGACAAAAATACCCAACACCATCAAACACCTACAATTATTCACATAACTAGTCCTAAAACTTCAACCAAACAAACCAACTTATTATAAATTTAAAACCACAACCAGAAAAAAAAAAAAAAAAAAAAAGGATAGCAGATAATGACCTTGTAAACTCCACTCCAGAGTCCAGACCTCAACCAACACTATAATGAATTCTCCAAAATAAACCATCACTCCCAACTTCATAATAACTAAGCTAAAACAAAAACAGCCAGAAAAGTTGGCTTCCTGATCCATCTAACTCACCTGATCTATTATGCCCAGGCAGCTCCCAAGATATCTAGCAACTATAGAATCTTAATCTTTTTTGTAGATATCCAAGCTTCAGTAAGAAAATAAGAGACAGGATGAAAATCTATAAATGAGGTCCACAATGACTGTCCCTTTGGTCTACTTTCAAATTCAAACTAAATCTCATCTTAAAAGGTATTACTTAGTTAAGACCATCTAGACTGATGTCATCAACCAATGTTTAAGCAAGTAGAGTTAGCAGATGCTGAATTGCCATTGGTGATCCTCTAAGAGAAATAGGTTTGTGCAAACCGTGCGTCTCACTTCTGAATCATTAAACTAAATTACTGACCTCCCATTGTTTATGTTAATGGAAGATTCTAATTAATATGTACTTGAAAAGCACCATTCTATGGTTTCTTAATGGGTGACTGAAGAAATTTATAATTTAACCACATCAAGAAGAGGCTATAAATGTAGCATAAGAAATGGTTAGCATTTCTTCCTTTGTGACAGGGCTATAAGGCTACCAATGTCATGTGGAGAAGCATGTGGGCACTCAAGGGTAAAAGACCCATGGAATAAGTGCAATAGGAATAAGAAATGAGAATGTTGAGATGGATGTGTAACAAAGCTGTAAAGATAGAATTCATAGTACAGTAGAAGTAACCAAATAAAATGACAGAACAACGAAAGTAGGCCAGCTACTGCACCAATAAGGAGTGATATTATGCAAGTTGAGGATTCCAGCATAACAAAACTGCTGCATATCTTCTTTGATAATGATATTTTACTGTTGCATCTATCTCTGTATTCAAACTTTTCTTATTATACATTTGGTTAGTTAATTACAAGAACGTTCATCTGTAACTCCACCCAGATCTGGTATCAGAAATTCAGACCCTATGAAAGAGACCGCCAAACCAAAGGTAAGTCGTGAGCTTACAGTTTATTGAAGTTCTCCTCTCACGAGGAGCACCTTTGCAAGAGCTAAACAAAAAAAAAAAAAAAATGTAACCTGTCACTGAATCAAAGACCGAGACAATTAGACGAATATTTAGACTGCGTTAGTTTCAACAGTAAATTGGGCAGAAAATTTTCAGACTGAATTTTTGTTTCTTCGCCATTTTCATGAAAACAAATTATAGAGGGTGAAAAACAAAATTCTCATAGCTATATTTCAATCTGAAAAGTTTTACTAAGAAACACTCCGGCCGCAGCCCTCCCCAAAAGCTTACTACTTTTGCGTTGTGCTCTGTGTTTCTCAACTTGACCTTGATGTGAAATCTTGCTAAACCAGTATTCCATTTATAATTTCTCAACTAAATTAGAAGGGTGCATCTTACAAATCAAAACCGAATTCAAAGTTGAAACAATTGCTACCAGTTGTAACTAAAGCCTGAAATATTGGGGTAGTAAGATGGCTGGTTCGCTTTACATCTATTGGATTCACTCAGACCAAATTAAAGTTTCCTTTTTTTAGTTTTATATTCATTTCAGTTTCAGCAAACAAACTAGCTGAACATTTTAATTAGGGACTTACTGTTGGACATCGATGTAAGGTCCGCATGAGGAGATTTTCTGCTTCAGCGTCGCAGATCTGGCTAGTGTTTTAGATACCTACAGCAAAAACGCTACTCTCCGCCACTTAACAACCTTTTGTCTTCTCCGCAAACGGTGGAGATGGCGGTGGAGAGAGCTAAAGAGCAGGTAATGTTCGATCTTCGAACCCTAACCTTAGCGCAGAGTTCTTACCCAAAAAAAGGGAAAATCTATGACGCCGGGAAGACATCATACCGGAGAGGCTTTGACCAATCACAACCCCGTGACCCGGTGACCGTGAGGCGTGAATTTTGGTGAAAACCCACCCAAATGGATTTTTTTACCCACATTCGACCCGCCTGTTAAACAATTGGACAATAACTTTGGATTCGAATGAGTGAGTGATGGCAGTTTATACCTTACCCGGCAGGCACTCGTCTAACTCTTTATCCGACCTTTTTTCCTTGAAAAACGGATTTTGGGATTTTATTATTTGACGCATCTATGAATTGAAGGTTTACTAAAAAAATGTGTTTAATAATATTTCAAAATTTATATGAAAGATAATTGGTGATGTTTTTTATATATTTTAATCAATTAATTGAAATTTTTTATATTTATTTATTTATTATTTAATATAATAAAAAAATAGATATAAATTTTAAATCCAATTGACACCATCCTTAAATGTGGGGAGGATTTTGCATCTTTCATGTATAAAAAAGATTTAGAATATAAAAATCCAATCAGCTATGAATTTTGAGGAGGGTACAGATTATAAGATTTGGGGAAACAAATAGGATTTAGAATTTATAAAACCCTAACCATCCCTACATGAATTATAAATGGATGGATTAGAGAAAAATGGACAACTAGTCAATTTTATGTGATTGACCATACAATACTAAAGTCATCACCTCGCTTACTGTGATTGTGACTCCAAATGAATCTTGATATCTTTTCCATCTATGTGACTTGTTTTTTGGGTAGAAGGGTACTCGTCTGGTTAGTGGGTAAGGCTTGGAGTACTGCTTGGACCATTGTAACTCGGCCTGCCTGCGAAAGAAACTGAACTTGCCGTTGTCGACAACCTCTTTCGTGGCAATGAGCTTGTTCTTGCCTACCCAAAGTCTATCTCCCAGGTATCTGTCATTTGCATTCATTTGAGGGATACCTAGTAGGTGTCTTGGGTATCTTTGATGCCTCCTCAGAGTATTCTGGCTAAAGGTGATGCTAGATTTTTGGAAGTTGACTTTTTGACCTAACTAGGTGGAGAATGCTTTTAGGACCTTATGCAATTTTTTTATTTGATTGGCTTCACTTCTAGAAGAAAAAAAAACTTCAGCAAATAGAAGGTGAGATACTGGTGTGGCTCTTTGAGCAATTCTGACTCCTTGGAGGGAACCTTGTGACTGTTCTACTTGTAGGAGTCGTAAGAGAAGGGCGATAGTGGGTCACCTTGCCTAAGTCTCCGCTTTATAGTGAAAATATCAAAATAACCCCCATTTAGGATGAATGAGAATGAGACTGTCGAAATACACTGGTAAACCATATCACACCGGGGAGGGGGGGATGGGTGGAGTTCGTGTTTTTCATGACCGCTTTCAAAAAGTTTCAACCCATATGGTCAAAAGCTTTAGACATGTACACTTTTATCGCACCCTTTTTATGTTCTTCTTATGTGATTTAGGATTCCTCGAGCTAAGATAACATTGTCAGCTATTTGCCTTTCTTTCACAAAACTGGCTTGATTGGGAGATATGAGCTTGGGCATCAGCAACTGCATCTTATTTGCCAGTACTTCGGATAGTATCTTGTAGGACACATTACAAAGGCTAATTGGCCGAAAGTGAGCGGTTGTGGTAGGATTATGGGTAGGGGTGTCAATTGGATTGGATTTGGTCGAATCCGGTCCAATCCAATGTGAATCCATTACAAATGGACCTGGTCCAATTCAGTCCAATGAATATTTTGGACCATTTTGGATCGGTTCAAAGACTATCCAATCTGTTCAAATTCCTGTTAATTTATATTGGCTTCAACTCAAACCTGGTCTATTGACACCTATGTTTTTATCTTCTATCAATGGACTAGATATTGGCTCAATTTAATATAAATGCATTATGGACAGATAGGTCCAATCCAATATGTAATATTGGTCCGTCCAAATTCAATATGTCTTATTGGTCCATACAATCCATCCAAATGGATTTTGATTTGGACGGAGTCCAACCCAAAACCGGTCCATTGACACCCCTAATTATGGGTCTTTAGAATGAAAACCAGGGTGGTCTCATTAAGTGGGGCCAGAGAGATTTTTTGGAAAAACATATCTCGGACTATTTGTAGGATTTTTGGACCAACTGCATCTCAATTAGGATTGACAATTTTGACCCCAACCCACTTGACCCACCCAATCCACCCAATTCAATAATGCATCAAGATGGATAGAATGATCCAATAGAGTCAGGGTCGATTGGGTTAAGGGTTACCCTTGACCCTCTCTTCATGGAAATTAACTTGTTTTAATTCTCCCGAAACCCCCCTCTCTCTCTCTCTCTTACATTTCGCCGATCGTCATCTGTCTCTTCCAGCCACCATAGTGTCTCTCTTTCTTTTTCTTCTCTCAAAAGTCTCACATATACAAATGGTAGATCTAAGCCATTGACACTCTCTATTTCTCTCACATCGCTTAGATCTACCGTAGGTGATTGCCGCACCACCCCTTTCTCGCTCAGATTGTCGCCACACAGCCATTCCCCTTCTCTCACTTCATTTTCATATCTACAGTGGGTGGACATCACACCACCCCTTTTATCGTGCTCAGATCTTGAAGCTCGTTGCTACACCACCACCTTCTCTCTCTGTCGCTCAAATCTACCTTTAAAGTTTGTCGTGCACCACCACTCTCCCTCTCTTGCCAACTCAAATCTCCGGTTCGAAGATTTGAAAGAATGAAGACTATGATCAGAAATTTCAGCGATTTTTTGTGTTTTAAAATATTTGCAATCTCTTGTAAATTATTGCAACTTGAATCTTGAATGTAAGTCCCTTAAGGGTTCTACAAATTTATGCGAAAATATTTTTGTAAATTTTTATCTTCGAAATATTTTTTGAAAATTTGGTTCAATATTCGGTGGATACAATGTCCGATTTTTGTTTGAATTTATTTTTGTCATTTTATTAGTTTTTTCTATAATATATAATTTTTTACTTTTTACTATAATTAATATATAATTTTTGAATTTTATCATTTTATGTATTTTTACAATCTCTATTTTTATCCCATCTCTTTATATTTATCTGATTCTTTTTGTCTTTTTCAATTTATTGTATTTTTTTCATTTTTAATGTTTTGCTATAATTTCTATTGTTTTTTATATTTTTTTGCATTTTCTATCTGTATTTTTTTGCAATTTATTTGTTTTTATGTATTTTATATTTGAAAATATTTTTTGAACTTGTTTTCATTATTCAAGTTTTTTAGTTAAAATATATTTTTTCTGTAATTCTTTTCAAATTTTTGCATTTTCTAAATTTTCTTACAACTTTCCTGTATTTTGTCAGCAATATCCGATATTTTACATTAAATATATACATTTTTTGTATTTTTATAAATTTTTTATTTATTTGAAAAAATTGGAACTTTTCTTTTATTTTTTAATTGAAATATGTAGTTGTATATTTTTATGCAATTAAAGCAGAAAAATATTAAAAAGTTAAGGTTCTACTTTGAATTAGTGGATCAAATGAATGGGTTAGGGTGGGTGACCCACCTTGACCCACTAACATGAATGGTAGATGGGTTAGTGAGTCAATATTACCCACCCATTTGCCACCCCTACTCCCACATTCCCAGTACTTCTGGTAAAAGAAGCAAGTGAAACCGTCTTTGCCCCTGTTTTCCATGATGGCTTTTACTTAGGCGTTTGCATTTGTGCCATGCATGGCCCAGTAATCCGCAATATGCACAGAAGAGGGTGAGATTCTCATATAGCAGAAATGAAGCCAGACACGCTTGCCGTTATCATTGAGAAACATACCCGTGAAAAGAGATTTTCGAGGATCAATCCTGATCCTCAGGCGAACAAACTGGCCACGAATTGGTTCTCAGTTTGGATTATTTTTTCAGCTAGGAGTAACACTTGGCCAGCAGCTGTGGCAAACATTTCACATAGAGAATGTTCCACGTACGCTCTCGGTATATGATGTATTTGCACCCTGCAGACGCTTTATGTCCATACCTGTTTGAACTCTCCTCCATTAATGCAGGTTTGTCGCCGATGCATGTGTTAAAACGGATTACAGGCTTGTCGCCGGTGGGTTACGGGTATGAACGGTACACTCATATCATTCATCCTTATTCTTCTTCTTTACCATTATTGCTTATAAAAAGGCTATTACCCAATAATGTTCAAATGTCGACGTTGGTTCCAACTATCTTAGGGTCGTGGGAGAGAGGTGGATATTGGGTACGGTTTTCATCTTTGGCATATTTTTATACACAAAGTGCTTCAAACTTTAGCCTGCATTTCAGCACGAGATTTTATCTTTATGCCAAGTAATGGCTGCTTAATTTACTTATTGCTTCCACTAATTCATTTGCCTTCACCTCGCCCAAATTCGGCCTTCAAATGGCCAGGCCTGGTCAGTTGATTAATATCTAAGGCTTAGTTTGGAAAGAGTACAAATGTAAACTTTTTACAGTACATAGTACTCTTACCAAACTAAGCCTAATAAAACTTCAGCCCCAAAGTTGCAACCATGATCAACTCTTCCATCTCCACTGCCAATATATCATATGCTTGATCTTCCCTTTAGCTCAAGTGCCCAGCTTTCTTTACCATTCGTATCAGCATGCTCTCCATCACAATTCACGACCAGTCTATGTTGATTTCCACCTCTTCTCTTGATTTGTCCTTAAACAGAAAAAAAAAAAAAGCATAAAAAAGAATTTGTGGTAGTTGCCCACTTACATTAACACCATCAAGGAGCAACACTATGTGAAAGTACATGGAGTAAGTGACAGAAAAGGGAGACCAAGTGTTACACTCTCCTAAGTACAAGAGCTCCTTGTTATCTAACTTGTAGTGGGCTTGGACCTACCGTCACATGGTCCTTTCCTAAGAAAGATATCCTATTTGAAAATTAATAACATAACATCACTTTTACCATTTGTTTTCTATATCATTTTTCAACATTTCAATAATAATTAAAATAATTTGATCTCTCTCATACACAAGCAGGAAGACTCCTTCAAATACATGGTTTATTGGCTAGACTTTCTGGTTTGGG